ATGTATGTATGTATATACATATATACGTGCGTATGAATGTGCGTATCTGGATATGCATATACACACTTATGCAATATCTAGATATTCTATTCAGACTTACATACATCTATATCTGTATATGTACACTTTCACATATGTATGTAGAAAGGTATTTCTATACAGGCACGTATACATGCATGTATGTACGCGCGCATGCACATGTATGCGTGTACGTATGTATGTATGTATGTATGTATGTATGCATGTATGCATGTATGTATGTATGTATGTATGTATGTATGTATGTATGTATGTGTGTATGTATGGGCAAGCATACATACATATACACATACATACATCCATACATACCTATCTCACATACATGCATACATACATACATACGGACGGACGGACCGACATACACACATACACACCTAGTGAAGTAAGTCTGGCGGCCGTACGGCGTATTGTCTATCAGTGTTCAGGTTCCTCGTCTACATATATGTGTATACATATATGCATGTACATGTATATGCATGTATTAGTATACACAATCTATGTGTATTTTTGTGTACAGTATGTAACCCAATATTTCAAACTGTACGTCACTGGGGCCCAAGATTTTTCCAACCACTACCGGGAACCAGAATATCGGGATTCGGAGGCCTCAAGTAGGTAAGGGCTACGGATTCGGGGTGTAGGGTTTAGGGTTTAGGGTTTCGGGTTTATAAGTTTAGGGCTCCCTTATAAGGGCTGCTTTCAGGGTTTTGGGGTTGGGGATTTAGTTTAGGGTTTAGGGTTTCGGATCCCTTTTCAGGATTTTCTTGTTGGGATGACTCCGCCAGGCTTCATCCTTCTTCTTGGAGCCCTTTGATTTTGATACATGAGGGTTCCAGAAGTGTTTAGTCGTTAGGGCGGTGTTTAGGTGCGGGAGTTAACCCGAAATCCGGAATCCCAAGCCCGGTACTGCACATCAGGATTTTAGGGTTTAGGGTTTTAGGGTTTAGGGTTAAGGGTTTTAGGGTTTAGGGTTAAGGGTTTTTTGTTTTGCCGCTGTCTGGTTGAGTCGCTTTTACATTCTAGTCCTGATCTGACTAAATCAATTGTTATGAACCCCAAAACCCTGATCCAAATATTAAGACCCCTAAACCCTGAACCCCAAAACTACAACAATCATAGACCAAGACCCTTCCCATAAGCCATAAACTCTAAACCGAAAATCCTGAACCCTAAACCCTTAACCGAAAGCCCTAAAACCCTAAAAAAGCCCTAAAACCCTAAAACCCTAAAGCCCTAAACCCTAAACCCTCAAGCCCAAAAGCCCTAAACCCTAAAGCCCTTTATAGGGCCTCGACTTCGGGCTGCACACGGGAGCAGACACATCGCTCGCGCACGAAGAAAAAGCTGCATCCGTTTTCCCCAAAAAGGCCCGAAAGGCCCATGTACTCCCATGGCATACCTTAAGGGTTTAAGGTTTAGGGTTTAGTGTTTAGGGTTTAGGGTTGCCTAAGGCTCCTGGACCCATGTAGTGAGATCCCAACCCTTAGCCCTGAAAGCCGAAACCCTCCCCCAGCAAGCCCAAGACCCTCTCAGGAGCCTTAGGTTTAGGGTTTAGGATTTAGGGTTAAGGGTATCCACCCTAAACCCTAAACCCTCAGAGCCTTAGGGTATACTTTGGCCTTGAAGTGCCCCCTACTTTGGTACTTTGGATCCCAGGTTTTTTAATGCACAGGCACATGAACCCTTAGGCTTTACTCGAGGATGAGCACGAGTAGGGCTATTGCACTCTATTCTTTCCATTGGACACAATCCTGTACTGTGGTGCTGTGCTCTGCTATGCAGTACTATAGGACACTACACTTTTGTATAATGGGTTTCTGTCACTAAATCTCCTTCGGTCTGCGTCACGGACCCTCAGGTGTCCTGCGTACAGAGTCACAGCGCAAAGCTTACATGCTGTGTTTCCGCAGCTCGCATTTGATTCAAGCTGCCATCAGCGATCCTTTTGTTTGTCGACTTGCGCTTATCACCCCTTTCATGGCGATGCGCCAGATCCTCCTGGTGATGTGGGCTCTTGTGATGTGCCTGTACCAGGCCGAGTCCAAGCGCAGCCCAATCAGCCCTCACGTGCCTAGCAACAACCCCGAGCCCGAGCGTGACGATGATGACAAGCCCGACTCGGAAGCCAGCCTCCTCGAGGACGAGAAGAAGTGCACCCAACATTTGGATTGCCCAATGTGCTATCTTTGCTCCGAAAACCAGAACTTCAAGACCGGACACTGCTACTTGAGCAAAAGTTACAAAGATTTGTCAATTTGCGCAAAACTTTTCACAGATTGACGTGCTTCCTTCGTGAGACGACTGGGCAGCGTCCCAGTCATGTCTCGTGTCCCAGAGGCTGTGGCATGCGCACCAGGATTCTGCCTTTCATTGCGCAGAAAGAGATGATATGTGGGTTCCAGAACGGTTTGTTGAAAAGGGGGCCTCTGTCGTTAGAGTATCATAAGAGCGGTGTTTAGGTGCAGGAGTACACCTGAAATCACAAATTCCAAGCTCGGTACTGGATATCAGTATTTTTGGGTATGCAGCAGGCATGCTTCGAATTTTTCGAGTGTCGTCAATCTTCGTTTGTAGACTTCATGCCTCTTCATTTTCTTGCTTCCACCCATGGCCGTCTATCCGCTTTTCAGCGGATATTTTGCAACTGTTATATTTTGTTGTCCTGATATGTCGAAGTCAGCTGCTATAAACCCCAAAACCCTGTTCCAATCTATTAAGGCCCTTGCCATAAACCATAAACTCCAAACCGAAAATCCTAAACCCTAAACCCTAAGCCCAAAGCCCTAAACCGTGGGGACTTGTCCCTAGAGGGCCGCTACTCGAAGATGAGCAGGACTAGGATTGGTCCAAGTAGTCCTTACCTTAACCTACCGAAACCTACCTTTTTGTAGGTTCTTATTATAAACCCTAACATGGAATTTATAGGGACCCTACAAAAAAATAGGTTCTGGTGGGCTAAGGTATTTATGGTTTTAGGTACCCAAAAAGGCCCCAAAGTCCGTTTATAATGGGTACTTGGACCCTTAGGGTAATTGATTCTATTGGACATAATCCTGTACTGTGGTGCTGTGCTCTGCTATACTATAGGACACTACACTTTTGTATAATGGCTTTCTGTCAATAAATCTCCTTCGGTCTGCGTCACGGACCCTCAGGAGTCCTGCGTACAGAGTCACAGCGCAAAGCTTACATGCTGTGTTTCCGCAGCTCGCATTTGATTCAAGCTGCCATCAGCGATCCGTTTGTCTGTCGACTTGCACTTATCACCCCGATCGTGGTGATGCGCCAGATCCTCCTGGTGATGTGGGCTCTTGTGATGTGCCTGTACCAGGCCGAGTCCAAGCGCAGCCCAATCAGCCCTCACGTGCCTAGCAACAACCCCGAGCCCGAGCGTGACGATGATGACAAGCCCGACTCGGAAGCCAGCCTCCTCGAGGACGAGAAGAAGTGCACCCAACATTTGGATTGCCCAATGTGCTATCTTTGCTCCGAAAACCAGAACTTCAAGACCGGACACTGCTACTTGAGCAAAAGTTACAAAGATTTGTCAATTTGCGCAAAACTTTTCACAGATTGACGTGCTTCCTTCGTGAGAGGACTGGGCGGCGTCCCAGTCATGTCTCGTGTCCCAGAGGCTGTGGCATGTGCACCACTCCGCACCAGGATTCTACTTTTCATTGCGCAGAAAAGAAAGATATCTCAAGGCAGTTCTCATGGTTCAGTTTAGAGCTCGGCCGCCACCTGCATGCATCATCCTCCGTTTCGGCGTAGACTACCTCAAGCCGCTGCTTCTGAAAGCTTTGCTTAGAAAGCCCTCAGTGCAGTAATGATGGCACAACATGGCATATGGAAATATTCTTGTTTGGGTTTAGGGTTTAAGGTTTCGCCGAGTCGTTCCCACCCGACGACAGCACAAGCAGCACCAACACCACCAAAAACAGCAACCACCACCACCACCGCCACCGGCCGTAGTTCCGCACGATAGACCGGGGAAGAATTTAAGGATTTAGTGCTTAGGGTGTGCAGGGTCCAGGGCTTTTGGCGCCTTTGCCAAAGGCTTCCGGCCCTGTAATATAGGGGCCCAGATAATTACCAATACTATTTCGGGGGCTCCTGATTATAATTATAGTATAATGGGCCCCAAAACCCTATTCTAATGATGAAGGCCCTTAAACCCTAAACCCTTATAGAACCCTTTAAGGAACCCGTTAAAGGAACCCCAGAAACCCTATTGTAATTGTTAAGGCCCCTATACTATATTGGGCTCCTGACATGATGCCTTCAGCTGCAGGATCCTTCTAAGGAAGGTGTAGAGTAGAAGCCCTAAACCCTAAACCCTAAACCCTAAACCCTAAACCCTAAACCCTAAACCAAACCGGGGTCCCCTATATTGCGCAGGTCTCATAGTCAGCAGAATCTCAGCAGGTTTAGGGTTCGGGGTTGAGGAATGAGGGTTGCGGGTTTAGAGTTTAGGGTCTACTTGAGTATAAAAGTCTTTATATTGGATCCCCTTATGGTAAAAGCCCAAAAGTTGGAAACCCAATAGCCTCAAAGAGCATTGTATAGGGAATCCCACTAAACCCTAAACCCTAAACCCTAAACCTTTTTTTCCAGCACTATCTGTCCTTAATCCGGTTTCCACCCTTTTTTGCTGTTTACTGTGGGGCTTGTGGTGTAGAGGTTCCTGGGTTTTAGGGTTTAGGGTTGAGGGTTTATAGGGTTTAGGGGGGTTCAGGGTTCGGGGTTTATGGTTTACGGGTTTCGGGTTTAGTGTCCTTGAGGGCTAAGGGTTGAGGTGACAGGAAAACTATAGCCATAACCCACATTAGGGGACTTGTTAAAGCTAGCCTAAACCCTAAACCTTAAATCCTAAACCTTAAACCCTAAGCCCTGAACTTTAAACCCTAAACCCTAAACCTTAAACCTTATAGAACCCTTACGGGAACCCTTGGTTCCTCTAGGTTAGAAGTATCACCCGACTTCTAACCGCCCATGCACAGCCACAGCCTCCGAAAGCTTTAAAACTTCATCATGGGTTGTTCTCTACGTCAGGGTCCCTTGTTTAGGGTTTAGGGTTTAGGGTTTAGGGTTTAAGGGCTTCTATAAGGGTACGAAAAAGGGTAGTTCTCTAAAGTAGGGTCCCGCTTTTGGGGTCCAGCAAACAGTACAGCACCCATACAACAAGGGACCCAAAAAGCCACCCTAATTTAGAGAGCCACCCTCATCGAAAGAAACCCTGCAGAACTTAAGACATCCCGTGCTTGAGCAGGTTTTGGGCTTTTGTGGGAATTGCAATAAAATGCCCCAAGCCCCTGAACCCCAAACCTTCAACATTGACTAGGTTGAAGAACTCGCGCGCTCGGGTGTCTACAACTTCGTGATTTGTCGCTTGCTCGGCCGTGCTGGGATGTAGGAAGGGTTGCAATGCTTCCATGTCTTTTACATACTTGGAGGTTCATGGGCAGCTATAAGTAGGGTTATTAGTCGCCGAATATGAGACATAACTATAGTTACCCTAATTATATAACCCCACTTATAACTACCCATGAACCTCCAAGTACCTTAATTCCCCTCCCAACAACCCCCTCTTCTAAAAATGATAGCCTCGCGGCCTCCAACTCTAAGACCTAAACCCTAAACCCTAAACCCTAAACCCTTACCCAAGGCCACAGTCCGCACCCTCAATCCTGTTTAGCACCTTGTCGAAGCCCTACAGAAACTCTGTAGATCCCCAAAAGAAACCCTAAGCCCTAAACCCCTGTAGATCCCTGAAAGAAGCCCTAAAGCCTAAACCCTAAACCCCTGTAGATCCCTTAAAGAAATCCTAAACCCTGCAGTCGAAAAGGGCCATTGCACATTCAAAAAACCAATAGATCCCTTAAAGGAACCCGAAACCCTAAACCCTAAACCCCTATAGATTCCTCAAAGGAACCCCTTAAAACAATAAAAGGGACCCTCTGAGGTCAGCCCCAATCTCGAAGTTCTTGACTTCCTAAGCCCTAAGCCATAAGCCCCAAGCCCTAAACCCTAAACCCTAGCCCTAGAGAAAGCCTTAAACCCAAGCCTTGAACCCTAAGCCCTAAACCCGAAGCCCTAAACCCTAAGCCCTAAACCCTAAGCCCTAAACCCAAAGCCCTAAACCCTAAGCCCTAAACCCTGACTTCCTGATCCTAACTACCCGAAAGCTCGAAGTGCTAGAGGCCTAAACCAATCCTGGGGTTTATAGGGTTTACGGTAGAGTTGTGTAGGGCTGTTAGGGTTCATAGGGTTTAGGGGGTATAGGTGTAGGGCTCCTAGGGCTTATATGGTTTAGGGCTTCGGGCTTATAGGGTTTAGGGTTTTGGCGTTTGGGGCTTAGGGCTTAGGGCTTAGGGTATAGGGTTTAGGGTTTAGGGCTTAGGGTAACAACTTCTTGCACCCAGACCTGCTAAGCCAAGAACTGAAACCGCGAACCCTCGACCTACTTCCTAAATACTCGGCAAGCCTGTAGGAAGCAGCTTGAAGTCCTCATCAGCGTGCGTTATGCTGTAGAAAGCCTTCTGACTCCCCCATGAGGCATGAGGTTTTTTCAGCCCCGGTACAACCCTGAAACACCCGATAAGCCCTTCACCAATCACGACACGACCCTTGTGAGCCTTATGACTTATAAAGCCCTTCTAACACGCCCGAAACACACGATCAAAAAGCACGATTGAAAAACCCGCTGAGGCCTGAGAACAGGCCAGGAAGTCCCCACGTCTGTAAAACCCGATGAACCCGTTGCAAAGGATTTGGGGTTTAGGGATTTTTGATTTAGGGGTTTAGGGTTTAGGGGTTCAGGGAGCCCTAAGCCCTGAACCCTATCGCCCCCTGTAACACCTCCTGAAAGCCCTGCCTCAAACCTCACCTCTAAAACAATCGCCACAGAAGGCTTCAGGGAGACATTAAAGGATACTATAGTGGCCTAAATAACTACGTATACTATTGTGGGAGTTCCTTGTTATAATTAGAGTACAATATACCTTAAAATCCTCCTCTTATTATGAAGGCCCTTAAACCCTAAATCCTTCTAGTAGCCCTTATAGAACCCTTAGAGGAACCCTTTAAAGGAACCTCCAAAACCCTATGCTAATTAAATCCTAAACCCTTATAGTAGCCCTTATAGAACCTATTTAAGGAACCCTTTAAAGGAACCCCCCAAAACCCTATTCTAACCATAAAGGCCCTTATATCAGGGCCCAACCCAAACCCCTGAACCCTAAACCCTGAACCCATAACCGCCGAATTTGGGGTTCCTTATTATGATTATGGTATAATATGTCCCAAAACCTTATTCTAAGTCTTAAGGCCCTAAACCCTAAACCCTTATAGTAGCCCTTATAGAACCCTTTAAAGGAGCCCCCAACAATCCTGTAAGTCAAATTATGAAGGCCCCTACGTTAGTGCCCTAAGACCTGAAGCGCCTGGACCTTTGGGGCCACTTTTGGAAGACCGTGGATCGAAGCGCTGAAAAACCTCAAGAGCCCTACGGTTGAAGGGTTCAGGGTTTAGGGT